CCCCAGGCTGTTGATTCAGTTCTATTTTAATATAGCTCTCAACTCTGAAGTCTTTGAAGGAAACAATAATTGTAATAAAAGCCTTTTGAAGGCAGAACAAAGCCATTCCTCTCTGAGGCTGGTGCGGAGCACCGTGAATGAGCCTACCCCTCCGTCTCACCCAGCCAGGGAGCTCTGGAGCTAGAAGGCTCCATTCCAGCCCCGACTCAGCCCAACCACGTGAGGTAGAATGACGGGCCGACTGGGCTGCACACCACACTTGCCCAGCCCATTGCACGGGAGTCTCCGGGGTGGGGACCCAGAATTCATATTTGTTTAACACGTCCCCCTCTCCCCACCCCCGGGTGATTCCATGTGATGCAGAGACTGAGAGAAAGTGCTGGAAAGCAACGCTTGTCCACATGATGTGCACACAAGTCACTTGGAAATCTTGTTCAATGCAGGCCTGGGGCACCAAGACGCTACTCCCTGACAAGCTCCAGGTGGTGAAGGCCCAGTGACCACACTCGGAGGAGGAAAGAGCCGAAACCAGGAGTCAGCCTCCCTTTCCCTATTGGAAATGGAACCCTGACCCCTGCCTGGCAGCTCCTTGCCCCACTTCCTTCCCCTTCAGTCCTGACCAACGTCCACTGAGTGCCCTGTCCTGTGTGAGACCGAGCCCCAGGGCAGCCTGACAGGACAGGGACTTAAAAGACAGGACCACTGTGGCCAGGGAGGGGCATCCACCTGCTCAGTAACGCGGTAGGGGACCACACCCAGGCCACATGACCCCAGAGCTGCTCCCAGTTACACATCACCCCACTCCCATCTCAGTTTGCATGCAGATCACTCAGCCTTGTGCAGGCCTACCTCCCTGCAGTGGGCCCTCCCAGCAAGAGCCCCCCCACCCCCATTCCCTTCTTTCTCTCCCAGCAGGCATTTCTGAGCAAATCGGAGGCTGGGCTCTGCACCGTGTCTGGGGTACAGATCGGCACCTATCCTGGGGAGCCCTGGAAAAGTATCATGCCTTCTGCCCTCATCCTCAGTTTAAAGTGTAAAGGCCCAAAGGAAAAACAACTTTCCCACAGCCAAACATGGAGTCAGCATGAGCAGGGGTGTGCCCCGGGCAGGTGATCCTCCCTCCACCACCCTGCCCAGCTGCATCTGCCCAGCCTGCTGGCAGAAAGGTAGCCCTGCATCCAAGGCCATGCAGGCCTGGCATCAATGACTCTGGGAGCACAGGCTCTCGGGGGTGCAGGGAGACAGATGATGAGGAAGGCAGCCGATGCTCCTTTCTCCCATTGCTACCCTGTTCCAAAGGCATCTTTCCCTGCAGCTCACCAAGGGGCTCTGAAAGTCCACCTAGCACTCTCCATGTCCATCCCTTTGTGTCCCTCCCTGGGCCTGGCCTTGTCATTCCTTGACAGGACGGTCTTAGCATCCTATGCGGGTCTCCTGAGCAGCACCACCACCCACACGAGCATGAGCCAGGCAAGTCCCACACTGTCACCCCCTGCTAGCTGCTGCCATGAATCCCAGCCATGGTCATCTGGACCTGGCCTATCTAGACCACCTGGACCCCTGGACCTGGACCTCCTGGACCTGAACGCCCTAGACTTGAATCCCCTGGACCCCTTCAGCCTGCCCAGTCACCACCTGTCAGATCACTCAGACCCAGTCAAGTGCTTCCTCCTCTTCTCCCTCCCCGTGAACCCCCTTTTCCCTCTCCCTTCCTCCTCGTTCCTCCTGGACCAGAATCTCCATGTGCCCCAGAATCTCCACCTTCCCAGTGCAGCAGGGGTTTTTCCAGGGCTGGCTGAGGATGTGCCATCAAGGACCACGGGATGCTGTAAGGATGCCCAGAGACAGTGCCAACCCTGGGCCTGCACTAGGCAGGCACCATGGCACACCTGTCGGACCAACCACAAGTGCCCTGGAGTGGGGGGCCCGTTCCAGCACCTTTTCCAATGCACACTCAGCTTAAGGGGCTCCCAGCAAAACCCAACAACCTACCCAGCATTATAACAGTGGGGTAAAGACACAGATTTCTGACAACACCAAGAAAGTGCATTACTGCCACTCAAGCTAAGGCTGTATTAGTAAGGTCTCAGGAATTAAATCAAAATAGAAAACTATTTTACTTGGTTCCATCAGGGAAACAAAGAAAATGCAGGACTGAGTTTCTTTTGTCTCGGGGACTTCCAGACTCCGGGAGATGATAAACAGTCAAACAGATGCATTTCCGAGAGAAAGGCCTTTTATGGCCAGTCATTTGGAAATGAAATACAGCAGCTCTCACCTTCCTTAGACGGAAATGAGCAGCAACCAGACCGCAGAGTCACCAGGCTCTGCAGCAGTGGGCCATGGCCAGTCTAGCCTCTGGAGGTTGTGGTTTCTAGAAGGTTCTGCCCCAGTCCCTGTGGTCTGGGCAGTTCCCTCCCCACTCTGGACCTCAGTTTCCATATCTATAAAATGAGGAGTGGGGTCAGAGGACCTCCAAGCCACCTCTTGGCCAGCCACTTCCTTGCAGTCACTGTGCCGCTGGGGTATTTGACATCCAGCCACACCTGGGCCCACCTGAGTCCATAGAATCCAATGTGACAGGAGGTGGCTCAGCATCAGGACAGCAATATTACTCTTACTACTGATAAAAACAGTGGCAGTGCCACGTTCACATACACACACACACACACACACACACACACGGGCACTCTATCTGGGGGTGCTGTAAGTAAGCCCCAGGAGCCCAGTTGCTGGCAGATTCACATGCCCACAGGACGTGTGTTAGGCACTGGAGGGTGCTTTCCCATACACCCCTTTGTTTAAGTGTGCAGCCTTTCATGCCACACTCCCACGCCCAGCATAGGGTTACGGAGACTGAACTGATAAAATCAAACTGACGGTTACAACAGTTCTTTACGTGTTGCTATTCCTGCATCCACACTGCAATTGGGGAAACTGAGGCTAGGGGCCAGTAAGTGCCTCCAACCTTGAGGTTAAGAACTTGCAAAGGGAGGCGCCTACGGTTCGTGCCCAGACCTGAGGGTCCAGTCGAGAGCTGGGCACAGAGGTGGAGCCCGGCTGAGTGGACTTCTGCTGGACCTCACTACCCCAGGGCCCTGCATAGTGGCAACTGCTTCTGAATTAGGGTTTGGAATTTTCAAAGAAGCCCTCGAGGCCAGCACCTTCCCTGCTGGGGAGCCAGTCCTTGATGGGCCTCTGTGGTCAATAGTAACCAGTCCCCCTGCTAGCCCTGCTCCTTGGGTGGCCAGGCCCCCCTCTCTGCACAGCCCAGAGGCAGCTCAGGGTTGGCAGGGTGTCAGCATCCAGAACACAGACAGTCAGCAGCCCTGAGACCCTCCTTCTAGATGCAGCAGCCTCCAAGGCTGATGCGGCCCCAGTTCCACCTCTGACAAATCAGCCTGTGACCATGAGGAGGTTTTGCCTCTCCCTGCATCTCCCTCACTCAGTCGGCAGCCAATTCCTGAGGCCTTCACTCTGAACGGGCCAGCACTGGCCTGGTTCTGCTGAGAGGCCGACCTGGCCTCACCCTGGCCGGGGAGCCTGAGCCTATGCTCTGTGGGAGGGGGCAATGGGACCAACAAGACAGGACGAGGTGGCCCTGCGGAACTGCAATGTGAGCCCAGGATTATTAATGCAAAAGATTTCTGCACAGCGTCTGCCTTTGGTCCTTCTCAATTCCACGTTGGAGGTAGGTGAGGAAAGCCTCAGCCTCCCTCGGGACAAATTAAAGGCTTCTCCTTCCATTACAGGACCAAAATCTCCACCCCAGGGACCCTGCATTTGAAGCTTGCTGAAATCCCACATCAGCGCGCTCCTGACTTCTGGACGCCACACAAACATCCACTCTGGACCAAGAAATAAAGCCCCGCTTTCTCCACCTAGACATCTCCACAGAAGGGGAACCCAGAGCTCGGGATAGCAATGGGCTGATCCAGCCTTTTCCCATCTCCATAACCAAATTCCAAGTCATCAAAGCTGACAAAGATATTGCCCACATGCCCAACTTCGCATCTTACAGCCAGGGAAACTGGGGCCAGCAAGGGCAAGAGAGCATCCCAGAGGACCCAGGGATGGTAGCCCCCAAGCACAGCCCTGAGCGCCCTGACCCCCAGGCCAGCTTTCCCTCCCAGAGCCAGCCAGGCTCAACTCCCAGCCTCAGCAAGTCTCCCACGGAGCCCTCCCCAAACACGCACACCCACTTACTTGTTCTTGGATGTTCTCTTTAGTAAGATTTTTCAAAACAAGCTTTTAATTCAATCCATTCCCAATTTGTGAGCAATGTGTCTTCCCTGGAGTTGTCTTTTCTTGCTCGAGAAGAGGTCTAGGAGGAGAAGTCTCAGAGAGCTGCTCCCTGCCTCCTCCTGCCAGCCACCCCAGACACATGCACACACGCATGTGCATACAACTCACACACACTCACACACCTGTGCGCACACACACTCACATACACACACTGCAGGGCTGTCCTCGGGAGGACAAGCACAGCAGGGAAGGTCCAGCCCTACCCGGTTCTGGATTCCTCTCATCTACACCTCAGCGCGTGGTGCGCACGCACGAGCCCTGGGACCCGGGACTGGGAGCTCACTACCTCACGGGGAGGAGAGAGCCAGACCTGCCCCACCTCCGCCCGCTCGGAGTGTCGCGCTGGCAGGGTGTCCCCAGCCCGGGGGCAGGGAAGCCGGGGACATCGCAGCTGGGAGAGGCAGGCGCGGCCCGAGCCCGCTGGCCAGGCAGCGCCCGCAAGAGACCCCGCTCCTCCCTTCCCGTCGCCGTCAGCTCCTCCGGGGAGAGAGCAGGTCGAAGACCCTCCCGCGGAGCCTGGGGTCGGCACCCGGGTCACCCCTCGCCCCTCCGGAGCGAGGCGCACCGGGCTCGCCGGGGTCAGTGCAGGGCAGGAGGTGCAGCCAGGAGCGGGTGCGGGAAGGCGAGGGCCGCGTGGGTCCCCGTGGCCCCTGACGAGGTTGGGCGCCCCGGTGCAGGACCCCGCGTCCCCTTACCCCAGAGCAGCACCAGCAGCAGCGAGAGAAGTTGCAGGCGCCAAAGCACTCGCGTCTCCATAGCTGGCCGCCTGGGGCGCGCTGTTCGGCGGGATCCCGGCTGGGTGCGCTGGGGGCGCCCGGGGACGGAGCCCAGGCGGGGGTGGGGCCACGGAGAATCCGCCCTCAGGACGCGTCCCCTTCATGCCCCCTCCCCCAGGACAGGCTCCCCCAGAGGACGTCCCGCACTCACTCCTCCCCAGGACGCGCCCTCCCTGGCAGGACGCCCTTCCCCACCCAGACAAGCTACTTCAGGCCAAGCCCCATTCCTCCTGCTCCAGGGTGTGCCCCGCAGCGAGTGCGGCTGGGCAGGCGAGGTGCGGGCTTGGGGGCAGATGGGGTGAGGATGGGGGGCGGCCTGGCAGGGAGTGGATGAGTTCCGGAGGCGAGGGGCCCTTTGAGCAGAGGCGCTTAGGGAGCGGACCACCGAGGGACGGGAAAGTGTCTGGAGGGGGAAAGCTGTGCGCGGCTCCGTGCGTGAGTGAGAGACTGGGGAGGGGAGAGGGCGGGCGTGCAGAGGAGGACAGCCTTCCTGAAGAGAGGGCTGGCCGTGTCGGGGTGGGGGATGGGGGAGGGTCTCTGTGTGCAGTGCAGGGAGGGGCTACCAGGGTGAACCAGGATACCTTCCTGGGGGCTTCTTTGTGCGTGGACCCTTTGCACCCCTCTGGACCAGAATAGATACTGGGTAGGTAGTTCTGAGCACGCGCACACACAAACACACACAGCACTGCCCATGACTGGAAGCCCAGGTCCTCGCACCCTGGTCCCTGCCCTGTGCCCTCTAGGAGGCCTCAAGGGACAAAATGAGGGCCAGGAGAATGACTGGGTACCCCAAGGGGGTTAGCGAGTGACTCAGGTTTCTCCAGCCATGGGTCACTGGGCCAGTTTGGTCATCTCTATCGCTCTCGGGCCCCTAGCACAGACGCTGGCCCACCCCACTGCTCCCACCCTTCTGCCTCCGCCTTACTCTGTCCTGGCACCACTGGGCACCCCAGGTCCCCTGTGTAAAGCTGTCTCCCCCGCCCATGGCTCCCCCCAGGCACTCTGCAGAAAACCCAGATGCCAGCCAGACCTGGCAGTCCCCTGAGGGGGCTCATCAGAGCTCTGCCCAGGGGGCCAGGAGCCCTTCAGAGCAGAGCCTGCTGGACCGTGCTGAGTGCCGGAGAAGGGGGGCCCACTCGTGACCAGCCTTCCCAGACCCTGACCAAGGGACAAATCAGAACCAGCACTGCCTTTGCCCTGTCTACAGGGAGCCGCCACGGCGTCACAGGGCCAGGGGCAGGGGCAGGGCCAGGACTGGGGGCTGTCACACATGGCTGGGAGTGACATTCAGACTGGGGAGACAGAGCAGGCATCAGGGAGAAGCCAGCTTGAGGGGAGCCAGCCTAGAGGGAGCAGGGCAGGTCAAGGGTCATCAGAGACTCATGGCTGCCCCTGCCCTTGGATCTGGGCTATTAGTGGTCACTGTGGCCTCTGGATCACGGCAGAAGGGTCGTTCTGGGAACTCCAAGGCTGGGACTTAAGAGATTGGCAGCTCTTGCTCCATGCTGGTTTGGGTGCTTCTTCCTACGTGAGGAGCAGCCACGTGGGCAACCCTGAGATGGGAGCTCACCTCAAGGTCCTGGCAGCTCCGAGGTCCCAGCTGAGTTGGCACCTGGGCACCTGGGCCCGCCCTGACTAGGACAGCCTCCCAGCGGAAACAGTCAACCCCAGGATAGTGAGAAAGGACTCCAAGCATGGAATCCAACAGTAAACCCTCGGGTCCCGGAACCCATCCATCCATCTCCCAGCCAGCCTTCCTCTGCTCCCTGACGCCCACCGCCCCACCCAGGAGTCTAACCCCCAAATGCAGCCCAGCCGCCAAGGAGGAGAATGTCATGCTTGGGTGAGTTTTTGCCTCCCCACCTGCCCTCCTTTCAGCCCACAAACCCTTGAGAATAGCTCCAATGAGCTTTTACTGGAACCCACCCCAAGCTCCCAACACTACCTCTGGAAATAGCATGTCCACTCCTCCCCCAGGAGTCTCATGCAAATCTGGTCCACATCCTGGTGTCTGCTCCTCCATTAGACCCACCCCACAGGCCTGGCTCCCTCTCCACACGGCAGACCTGGATCAGCAGCTTTGATCTGGGTTTCAGAATAGAGGAGTGTAGAAGACACAGAGACTTAGGTCCAGCCAAGCTCCATTATCTTCTAAGCACAAAACCCTCAAGGTGCCTCACATTTTCCATTTGATGCTGGAGAGAATAACTGTCCTGCCTCATTCCCAGGTCAGAGGTGAGGTTTGAGGCCTAGGGAGCCGCTCCTTGCTGAGATCCCCAGGCACAGGAGGA